TCACTCTTAATGTTTTCAGTGTTTTATCAGGAGAGGATGAGAAGGGAAGCCCGTGTCTGCGCAGCTCCTGCTTGCCAGGCAGCTCTGGGGATGCTGCTTCCGCAGCTGTTCCGGCCTCTCCTGGAGCCCCGTGTTCACGTCCGTGTGCTCGAGTGGCCTCTTGTTCACGGACACCTTCACCCACAGACCCCAACCCCTCCGTGTCCACTCACTGCCGCTCACTCTGCAAGTATGAGCCGAGTGCCACTGAACCAGGTGCTGGGCCAGGGGCTGGGCAGAGCTGGGACACGCCATCCTCACCCTGGCACGAGCACAAGAGCAAATAAGTAATTATTTAATTGTAATTATTTAATAACTGTGTGATAAATACGCAGCCACTGTGGTATCTGATAAACACATAAGTATACCATCACTTCCATAATCCACATAACTGCGAAATTATATTTACAATTAAAGGTAACCAAACAACTCTATATAATTCTATAGTGATCACATTATTTAATAATTACTAATTATTAAATAATTGCCTGTAGTTATTTATTGAGTTTGTTGACATAAATTACCGTATTCATAATACTTATAAATGTTTAATAGTAATAAGGAGGGTAGGTGTTAATAATATATGCAAACCCACTTTCCTAGTACGTGCTATGTACCAGGCGCTGTTCTAAGCTCCCCATACTTAAGTCATTGAATCCTCCAGTAGGTAACGTAATTTCCCCCTTTGTACAGATGAAGAAACTGAGGAACAGGAAGTTTAACACACACAGCTAATGATCCCTGAGCTGGAATGCAAACCCTGGGTCATCTGTGATTCCAGCCACTACACACACTTCCTTTGAAAGTTGTGACAAATCCTCTCCGCAGCAAACACAGCCCCTCACCCACCCACCCCACCAGCCCCATTCTAGTGTGTGCAGCAGTGGCTCCTCTGCCAGCACATGCAGCAGTGGCTGAGGCTTCACCAGTCACCTGAGCCCACCCCTGCACACGGGCAAGTGGAAAGTGCCAACTAATTATCACCTCGGGGCTGGCTCTGCAGAGCTTGGGTCTCAGCATTCCTCAGAGATCCCAGGCCTCCAGCAGCCCAGGGTCACTGTGAGAGCCACAGGTCCCCTTCCCCTCCCAGTGCTTCTGAGATCACCTTCCATACACGCCACTTAGCTTGAATCCTTTTGCTCTGTCTCTGCTTCTGGGGAAATCCAAACCCGACTCTACCCCACTTTCCAATAACCACAGCTCACACTGATAAGCTAGGAGTCTCTGCCAACTGCTGTTCTGGGCTGCCTTGATGTGTTAGCACACTCAAGCCTCACAAGTGGTGAAACTGAGGCTTGGGGGGTATGAATAACCCAGCCTCTTTCACTGGGCTACACGTGGTAGAAGCAGAAGTTCAAACCAGGCAAACCTGGCCCCACACACACCATAACCCATGTCGGGCTCTTTGTTTATCTTGCTTGCTCTTACCAAGAAACTGGCCGAGGCTTAGAGGTGGGGATGAGGAGGCAAGGAAAGGTGACCCTGTGTGCCCTGAGGGATGGGGAATGGTCCGATAGGGGGAAACTTCCCACTGAGCTCTCGCCAGAGCAGCCAGTTCACCAGAACTAAAAAGCACCCTGTGTCGGCCCTGGCAGGGAGGTTTCTTTGTAACACGGTGACATGTCAGAGTCCTGCTCTGAGAGGTCTTCAAAATGGACAAGAAAAGGCTACATTCTGAAGTAGGCAGAGTCGACTGTCATACTCCCAAGACAAAGTGAGGAAAACACTCACCTGCCTGGGACTCAAGGAAGAGGAGCAGAAAGGAGCCAGGATGCCCAGGGAGAAGGCAGGGGATAGCAGGCAGGTGGGATGGTAGCAAAGGAGAGGCTCTGGGGCCCCCATGGCAGGTTTAAAGCATGGCTGCAAATTCCTGGACACCTGTTCCTCAAGAGGTGGAGTTTCTGCCCATTCCTCTTGAAACTAGGAGGGCTTGTTTGTCCAGTTCAGTGATGGCTGGGTCACAAATATCCATTCAGCTTTCCCTTTGTCCATGGGACTGCCCTGACACTGCCATATTGTGAGGAAGCCCAAGCTCCACGGAGAGGCCACAAATCAACATTCTCATCAGTATCGCAGCTGTGCCCAGCCTCACCTCCGCCCAGCCCAAGCACCAGACATGTGAATGCAAAAGCTTCCAGGTGGTTCCTTCTGTAGGCCTTCAAGTCACTCTCAACTATTCCCAGCTAAGATTCCAGACATTGCAGAGCAGAGAAAAGCCAAAACCACCATACCCCATCTAAATTCTGACACACAAAACAAAGTGTTTTTTATACTACTAACTTTAGAAATAGTTTGTTACATAAAAAGAGGAGACTGAAGTCTACCATGCCCATCCCTGGTAGACTCCATCCAGACTGAAAGGTAGCTGAACAAAAATAGGAAAGAAACGATGTACACACTCTCCTCAACCTCTAAGATGTTCCAGTTGGATTCCGATAAAAGACTGAACTCTCGTGGGTACCTCTCATCCACAGACACACTGCAAGGCAAAACAACAAGTCAAATAAGTTTGGGGAATGCTGGATTCAATGAGCGTCTTACCATGAGTGAGACCTTTTCACAGGCCAATGAAAGGAAGTGCTTGAAGGGAAAGCTTGAGATCAGGTGTGCCCTGGGGTCAGGACATGTGTCATCCTCATTCTCCTTGGAGGAGGAGCAGCCAGATTTTCCACTGAGAAACCACCACCTCTGCTCTCAGCACTCTGGGTTGTTAAAATGACAGCCATCAATTACAGATTATTCTTTAGAATTTCTAAACATTTCTGAGTAATTGGATGCAATTACGGAGAGTCTGAATCGTGCACAGGGGTCATCTCTTCCTGACTCCTGCAGCTGCTTTGTGGGGAGAAATTCTCCCTGCAGCAGACATGGATAGCTTCCCGGTAAAGCCCTTTCATGAGGATTTTCCCAGGATTTCTAGGACCCACCGGCTCCTGGTGATGCTTAGACCCAGGGGTCATTATCTCCAGCCTTCTGGATATTAAGAGGGCAAGCAAAAATACTGCATCCCAGATGGATTTTGCATATGGTTTTGTTTTTTGGGTTGTTTTGAGATGGAGTCTCACCCTGTCACCCAGGCTAGAGTACAGTGGCGCAATCTCAGCTCACTGCAACCTCCACCCCAGTGGGTTCAAGCAATTCTTGTCTCAGCCTCCCAAGTAGCTGAGATTACAGCTGCCCGCCACCATGCCCAGCTAATTTTTGTATTTTTATTTTTTAGTAGAGATGGGGTTTCATTATGTTGGACAGGCTGGTTTCAAACTGCTGACCTCAAGTGACACACCCACCTTGGCCTCCCAAAGTGGGATTTGCAAAATTAATGGACTAAGTGGCAATCGCTCAGAAAGGGATTGTTGAAATACCTTAACTTCTTAAGGCATGTTTGAAATACCAAGGGTGGCAGTGGCTCGTTTTTCGGGATGTCCCATCGGCCAGTCCCCACTGAATTCCCTTCAGGGCCCAGAGCTAACTGGTCAGTGTGGGGTCAGCATCTCAGAAGTCAGTTCACATCCAGGGCCCCCCAGCATTCTCTAGAACACCCAGTTCTTACAGACACATCCCGTCCTCAAATTCCGCCCTTTGCAAATTAAAACCCTCCCCACTCCCCGCCTCTCCCCGAGCTTGCTGCAAGAAGCTGAGTATGAAGAATCTGTCGCCTGTCTGCGTGAGTGCCGAACCTGGGAAGACAACAGACAGTATCAGCTTTCCACGTTTGGCCCTGAATCCACAGGGCAGAGAAGAGCTTGCTTGTAAACAAAACTCCTACTTGCAGTATATGGACGTTAGTGTGACTCATGGCACAGATGCCGGGGAAAGTGAGCCACGGGCCCAGCTGCTGACCTTTCATATGGGGTGTCAGCAAGCCCACCAGCTCAAGGACAGCAGTGGGATCTCGTCATGAAGCCTCTCAGGCTAAGCTGTCCTCCTGCGATACAGATGGCTCTAAGCCAGCCACACGTGAGCCTGTGCCTCAGTTTCCTCATCTGTAAGCTAGGGATAGGAACATGGCCAGTCTCATCGGGCTTGTAGGAGGGCAGAGGAGAGTGAGAACAGGCCTGGCCTTGTGGATGAAGCATGCTGAGGAACATCTCTCCACCTGGGTTGGCCAGCCCTGCCCCTCCCGGAATTGATGGGTTTGGGTCTGTGCTGATGGGTGGGAATGTTCCACTAGACTGGAAGTCATCTCTGTGATGACCAGGCTGGGTCCCTCATGTCCTTGCTGTCTCCTGAGGGCCTAGCACAGTGAGATGTGCTTCCATGGAAGGACACACGTGCCAGCCACGTTTGACCAGGGAGGCCTCCTGCAAATCTCCCCCAGCCACATTCAGGAGAGTGAAATTGGCACAGGATCACGCCTCCTCACACCCTTCGGCACACTCATCGCTCAGCTCGCAGAACCAAACCGGCACCCATTCGGAATAAAGACATTCTCCAGTGTTTCTAGTCCATAGGATCAGTCCAGGTCTCCATATCTCTTTGCTGTTGTTTTGGGGATAGGTTGAAAAAAATCCTTAAAATAGGACCTGCATGAGGTGGCTCACACCTGTAATCCCAGCATGTTGGGAGGCCAGCAGGGGGCAGGTCATATGAGGCCAGGAATTTGAAACCGAATTGGGCAACATGGTGAAATACCATATCTACTAAAAAAAAAAAAAACAAATTAAGCAGATGTGGTAGCACATGCCTGTAATCCAGCTACTCGGGAGGCTGAGGCACAAGAATCGCTTGAACCTGGGAGGCAGAAGCTGCAGTGAGCCGAGATCATGCTGCACTCCAGCCTGAGTGAGAGAACAAGATCTTGTCTCAAAAAAGTCCTCAAAAGCTCAGTGCAATTGCGTTTGAATTCAGTGAACTGAATTAACACAGCACATTGCAGTATCAACTGCCCCTTTAAAGAACCTAGAATCTGGTGAGAATTAGATCGTATCTGACAGTGACTACAAAATACAGTACACATCAGCTTTATAAAAAGAGCATTTTATTTTAATAAAGAATTGAGATCAGTATACCGTTTTAATGGATACAAAAATAAATATTCACTCAGCATATTAAAGATATGTGTCTTAACACTCATTTAAATTGGAGAGCCAAGCCTATGGTTACCTTACGAACACTTCAGCAAACAGGTCTGTCACTCTTAAAAAGATAATGCTCACTTCGTTGGACAAAAGGGAAGAGCCACGTTCCCTGGTCTTGTCCTGTGTTCACGTGTGAACTCATCCACATCTAAAGGACCTCTGGGTCTGACTGTCACCTTCACAGGTATGGCGCTGGAGAAAGGAAATGGGCATTCTCTGGCTTTTCAGATTTTAAACCAGAACCTCCCATGATCACAAATCCACCATAAGACTTGGGAGGTGGGATGAGCCGTCCCCAAGCCACACCACCTTCCATCTTCTCAGAATGAAGGCTGACAGGTGAGGCCCCTGCCTGCCCTCTCCCTGGGCAGTTCTGAATGTGGGGTGGTGCTGACTCAGGCTGGGCTAAAGGGGAAAGAGGGACATGGAAAGTAAAATGTTTCTAGTACAAATATATATATATTTTTGAGACAGAGTCTCACTCTGTCACCAGGCACCAGGCACCAGGCTGGAGTGCAATGGCGCGACCTCAGCTCACTGCAATCTCCGCCTCCCGGGTTCAAGCAATTCTCCTGCCTCAGCCTCCCGAGTAGCTGGGATTACAGGCACGCACCACCATGCCCAGCTAATATTTTTGTATTTTTAGTAGAGACGGGGTTTCACCATGTTGGCCAGACTGGTCTCTATCTCTTGACCTCGTGATCCACCTGCCTCGGCCTCTCAAAGTGCTGGGATTACAGGCGTGAGCCATCTAGTACAAATATTTTAAACATATGTGAAACCCATTTGGAAAGAAGAAAAGAGGTATCTGGAATGATTTAATGACAAAAATGAAAAAAATATATAAATTTAGTTCTGAGCTTCCTGGCAGCAAAGCCCCAGAGGAGAAGGTTTCATTGTCTGAAGATATATCCAGGCGAACAGTGTGTTTTTGACTACGCTCCTGCTCTGAATTCTAGAAAGAATATCCTTTCTTCTAACAACCCAAGAGTTTTTCTTGCACTCTTTAAAGGGGGGGAGGGGCTTGTATCTAAATATTTTTAAATCTTATTAAAATGCTTAAAAGTAAAAATATATTTCACATACAATCAAGCCTACGAAATCATAAATCTATAACTCTAACAAAAGATAAAGACAAAAACAACCTTGCTTTCAGAGGTTGATTTTAAACTCCAGATTCCTCGACTCGGAGCAGCTTCCTGCTGATATTACTGAATGACAAGTCTTTGGAAGTGAGAGTTAACCGAAAATGCAGAAAGAATCATAGCAACTAATGATAATGAAGGGGAATGTAGAAAATGCCATGTTTAGCCACAGGTTGTGGTTACAGCATCGGGGCCGTTCAGTCGGATATCACCATTGACATCTGATCGGCAGGGCCGCGCCGCCACACCGTCCAACGTCAGCTCCTCCAAGAATGCCCGTACTGAATTAAGTGCAAAGTAAGGCACCCCACCCCGCCAGAGGGATCCACAGCCTGAATGATGATGATGAGGGCCGCGGGAACAGGGAGACGGATGCCGGACGCAGGCGGGGCGCGGCGCCCAAGCGATGCCCTTAGACGGTGATCTGCTGGTTTTCTCTGAAAAACGGTCTCTGGTGTGAGGCACAGATATCTGGAAACATGCGGAAGACCTGGTCGGGCAGGGACTCCTCGGGGGCCTGAATCACGGAGCCAGCGCCGCAGCTCTTCCCGGCCTCTTCTGCCAGGTGCCGGATGTAGAGCTGCTCGATCTAGACAGAAGGTGCAGAAAGTCAGAGGCGGAGGCTCCAAAGGGGGTGGGCCCTGTCTTTGACCCCAGCCAGGTCCTCTGATTACCTAGTGCCACATGAGTCTCAAGTGAATGAGCCAGAACGCGGAGAAAGGGCAGGCAGTACTCCCGCCAAGACTGTCCCATACTCCCCAGTCCTGTCCCAGTTGGGACAGCCAGCACCCAGAATCCCACCATTAGAGATTCACTCCTTGGGCTACATTAAATAAGGGCCAGCAATGACCTAATCTGCCACTTAGACCTTAAGGCAATGGAACAGGTAGAATCTTTCTGGAAAAGAGGTTCAGATTTATAAAAGAAAAGAGAAAACACATACAGAGATTAGGTGCGTCCCAGACACCAGAAGATAGCTCGGAGATGGCAAGAATCTACTTAACCCATATTGAAGGCCTGACTCCCACACAGGTGGAAACCCCATCCTTGTGGCCTCTTCTCCAGCCCAAAACTTGATCCTGACACGAGGGGGCCAGGAGACCAGGCTGCAGGGCTCACAGCTGCCCACACTTACCTGCACAAGAATGAGTTTGGAGCGCAAGGGGGCCATATCCGGAAACTCTTCCCCAAAGCACAGCACCACCCTGCTGTCGGGAAGCCGGCCCTGGCTGTTATAGAACTGCTGCAGCTCTGGAATGACAGGGGAAGAGGGTGTTTGCAAGCAAGGCCGAGATGACCTCCGACTCCCGCAGCAGCAGGGCTGGGGACCAGGAGGCCCGGGCCTCAGCGGGGATGATGCAGCATTCAGGCCAGGGCACTATGGGATCTCAAACTGGTGGCCCTTGGGCCAAATTCCAAGCAAGGAGCTACTGGCGTGGCCATTCCTGGTTGTTGCCGGGATTTTAATGCCGGGTTGAACACCTCTCCGTGAGCACGGCCGCCTGAGGCTCCCTCTTATCTCTCTCTCTGTGCATTACTCTTACCTGCCTGGCCCCTGAAGGCAACTGAGTTTGCAGCCCTACCTGAGGACGCCCAGGGAGGCTTCGGTCCTCACCCGATTCTCTGACAGCCAACTCAAAGGGTCTCAAAGTGGGGTCCGGGACCAGCAACAGTAGCCTCTCCTGGAAGCTCATTAGAAATGGAGAATCTTGGCCCCCACCTCAGACCCACAGAATCGGAGGAGGTGAGGCAGGCCCAGGAATCTGCATTGCAGGATGCCTTTCCATGCTGCTGCTGCTGCCTGCTCAGGGGTGACAGCCCCAGCCTCACATCTCCTCACTGGGGAGACTCCTCAGGGCTTACGCATCTGAGCTCACATACGCACCCGCCCTTCCAGGCCCGTCCTCTGGGAGCTGTCAGGCTAAGAGGCGGCTGAGACCTGACATTAGCTCAGGCCCGCGCTGCTACAGGGAAAGGAGCAGAGAGCATGGGGACATGGAAAAGAAAGCTGGCATCCTGACCCTACAGGAGACACCCAGGCTGCGATCCTACACATTCTCCTCACAGAATAACAAGAGCTGATGGGCAGCGTTTAGTGCGTGCAGCTGCCACCCTGAGCACTCACCATGCGGAAAGTCAGCGCATCTCAAAACCTGCACCTAGATCTCCAGAGACCTTGCTCAGGTGCAGGTTAGGGGCCTGTGACTGGAGCAGGGCCTCAGACTCTGCATCTCTAGCCAGCTCCCAGGACACGGGACCATCCTCAGATGGTCCAGCATGCATGGGGTTAAGTTCCTTAACCCTCCCAACAATCACCCAAGGAGGGTGCCGATTCTGCATCCCCACTGTACACACAGGGAAGCTGAGGGATGGAGGAGCGCCCCAGGATCGCTCAGTGAGAGATGGCAGAGTGAGATTAAAGGAGCTTCTCCTTACTGCACCTGTGCCCCTCGCTCTTCCCCATCCCTCCTTAGGACCACAGGGCTGCCCTGAGCTGCAAACGGCACACGGACAGGAGGCATGATCCCTAAGACGTGAGACGGCACAGACCTCGGAAGAACTGGCTGGTGTCGAAGACCTGGACCATCTCGTCGCGCTCCAGCTTGTTGGGTCTGCCCTTGCACACCACGGCATTGCCGCTGCAGAACACGCGGCCCTGGCACTGCCGCTTGACGAACACACCGTGCCGGCTGCCGTACAGCACCACCCCGCGCTCCAGGTGCCCGAACAGCTTCCGTGTCACCTGCCTCTGTCGCTCGCTGGGGATGGCGTCGGCCGGCGGGAAGCACACCAGCTCCAGGCCCTCAGGCCCACACAGCTTGGCACTGGGCAGCCCCGGCTGGCTCAGGGACAGGAGGCAGCCCTTGGGGCAGGTGGTGGTGGCCTGGCCCACCAGCTTGCCCCCGTAGTAGAAGCTGATCACCATTTGGGAGAACCCTGCGGACAAGAGGGCACAATGAGGGGGCCGGAGGGAGAGGCACAGGGTCCCTCCTGCCCAAGTGCGCAGTCCTCACACCCACACACATAACTGCGTCTTGAACCACTTCGGTATTCTGGGCAAATCCACGTACTGCTTGTAGATGTAATGTTTTTATAAGCATGAAAAAATACACAGAAGGACTAAGGAAACCAATGACTTGAAGAATTGACTGCAACAGTGTTCTCTGTACTTTTTTTTTTTTTTGAGACGGAGTTTCACTCTTGTTACCCAGGCTGGAGTGCAATGGCACGATCTCGGCTCACTGCAACCTCCACCTCCTGGGTTCAGGCAATTCTCCTGCCTCAGCCTCCCGAGTAGCTGGGATTACAGGCACGTGCCACCATGCCCAGCTAAGCTATTGTATTTTTAGTAGAGACGGGGTTTCACCATGTTGACCAGGATGGTCTCGATCTCTTGACCTCGTGATCCACCCGCCTCGGCCTCCCACAGTGCTGGGATTACAGGCTTGAGCCACCGCGCCCGGCCTGTTCTCTGTACTTCTTTAGTGACTCTTTACACACGAAGGCCAGGGAAGGTTTGGTAACTGCTGCAGTTTACAAGTCAGGCTGAGGGCAGATGTTCCCACAATCGTCATTCCTTATGATGATACTTGGTTTCAGAGGCACTGCTGAGGACACTGCGGTCTGCTGCCTCCATCCATAACAAAGGGAGGTGCTAAATTTAAACCTGAAGTTACAGAATCTTTTCCTGAACAAATTCAGATTAAGAACCTGGGTTTCAGATAAAGAATCTCTGCAGAACACTTCATCCAAATCTGTTCTCAGGAAAGAGTCTGAAAAACACTCAAACTAAAGCAGGGCTTCCCCAAATGTGGCACCCACAGAATGACGGGGCAGGGGCGAGATGTGTAATCCAAGGATTATTCCATCTTCAGTATTCTCCCAACTTCTGATTACCTCCAAAAGTAAGCCTCTGTGTGGTGCTGCAGCTCTCTAACACCTAAAACCTGTCAAGCTCCCTTGTGAATAATGCACGCAACTAGGGGCCCTAAATTCAGGGCTTTCTCAGAGGTCAAGAAGAACTCGGTGAAAGCCGAATACAATCTTAGTCAATTCCAGCCAGCCAGTACTACCTGCTTACACCAAGTGGCACAGGTCTTCCTTTACAGGCAATGATAGTGGGTTCTCATTTAAAATAAACTTAAGTTTTAAAAAATAAGGAGATTTGAGGGAAAACATGATGTTAATAACAGTCCAGGCTGTGAAAACCCATCGTGACAGTGGACCTCAGGTGACGAAAGTTTGGAAAACACTAAACTAGGGTAGGAATGCAGGTGACGTGTAAATGCAGGGGGTATCTGCATTTTAATCACTTTAAACCAAAAGAATTACACATGCTAGCCGTGAGCCTGAGTTCAGAGCACCTTCTAAGCACCCCAGACTAGCTCAGGGCTGCCTTGTGGAGCCACACAAGTTGGGAGGTGCCCAACTCCATGGTGTCCCTTAGAGTTGTGCAAGGCTCCACATCTGGGAGTGCCCTGAGGCCACCTGCATTCCCTGCTGACACTGCTGGCCACACAGAATTCCCTGGACCCTCCCAGTGGGCTCTGCTCCCTGACTTACTATTTGACATCTGACTGTTCACAGGTTCCATTTCCAGCCACGCTCCAGTTACACAGGTTCTAGAATCATGCAGGGTAGGAAGCCAGAGCTGCAGGAGCTCTGGTCCAACTCATTGACTGACACTTGAAATTGAGGCCTAGATACGTTCACCCAGAAGGAAACGGTAGTGCTGGTCTCACTCTTCCCCACTCGCCATCTGCCTCCCACGCCAGGTCTGCCACATCTGTGCTGCCTGCTGACTCCACACCCTCCCCTTCCTTTACCCTGGAGCAACTTTCAAACTTTGTTCCAAAAGAATGAAATGCTGGCCAGGGGCGGTGACTCAAGCCTGTAATCCCAGCACTTTGGGAGGCCGAGGTGGGTGGATCACGAAGTCAAGAGATCGAGACCATCCTGGTCAACATGGTGAAACCCCATCTCTACTAAAAATACAAAAAATTAGCTGGGCATCGTGGCGCGTGCCTGTAATCCCAGCTACTCAGGAGGCTGAGGCAGGAGAATTGCCTGAACCCAGGAGGCGGAGGTTGCGGTGAGCCGAGATCACGCCATTGCACTCCAGCCTGGGTAACAAGAGCGAAACTCCGTCTCAACAAAAAAGAATGAAATGCTTCAGGCCACTCCATCACCCCTTTGGCCCCTTGCCCTGTCATTTCCGGGGCCTTATCTCGGTACCAGCACCTTCTCAGTCAGGTGATCTGACAGCTTCACCTGGAACAGCTAAGCACTTCAGAGACACCTAATCAGGAGTGTCTTAATGACCACACGCCACAGAACATCTTATGCTGAGAGAAGGTTCCAGCTGTCAAGCTCACACCTGACAGTGGGAAGCAACTCACCAAGGGCTGCCCAGGTGAGACCGGTGGGCCTTCTGTAGCTCTAAGGACTCCACTGTAACCCAGCCCTGCCCTTACAGAGCCACTCAACTGCAAGGACAGCCTTGCTGGGAATGGCCTGGCCAGAGAGGCAGCAGCAAAGACGCCCGCAGCAGAGACTCTGCAGCCCGCCTGCCTCATGTCTGATGTGCAGTCCCCGCGCAGCCACTGCCCAGCTGGACAACCGGGGCAAGCAGCTTCCCGCTCTGTGCCTCAGCTTTGCATCGGCAAAGCGGAGATGAAAACTGCACCCACATCACTGGGCTGCCGTGAGGATGATCGGAGCTTGTGTGTGCGCTTGGCACAGGTCAGCACCAGCTAAATGAGCATTTGTCCCATTACCCAGTTTATCTACACAGATGAGACTCCTGAAGTTATAAACCATAGCACATACCAGGTACCGTGCCCAGGGCTTGGGACCTACCAGCACATTTAACCCTGTAAGGTGGATTCTTAATTATTATACCCATTTTCCAGGTATGGAAACTGAGGCATGGATTTATATAGAGGTGGCAGGCAGGGCTGGACAGAGGTGCCAAAGCCCACAGCTTCTAGAAGGACATTGAGGTTGTTCTGTGCATGGGCAGTGGCTGTGACCCCGCTGGACTAATTCAAGGACATGGTCTTCCCAAATTGTGTCTCTGCATCTCGCCGAGACGGCCCCCACTCTGTGCCCGGCTACTCCCCAGCCCTCGGACAGCATCGGTCAGCAGACTCCCAGGCCACAGCCCAGTGCTAACGAGCCGAGGGTTGGCCCCATGACTCGGGCCTCCCAGAACGGGGTTCCTGTGAGCATGGCGGCTGCCGAGCACAAGGAAGCCTCAAGAACAGGCTCCAGCCAGAGGCCACGTGACCGGGGCGAGCCCCTGAACTCCCCAGCCGCAGTCTCCTCACCTGTGAAGCAGATTGAAAACAACCCCCCAGCTCCCAGGAAACCGACAAGAACTCCATGGACAGGGTGTTGTCATCTTGACAGTTTTCCCGCCTGGGTGAGAAGCAGCCTCCACAACCCAAAAAGCACTGTCCCATGCTGATCTCGGCCAGCATGCTTCTATCCGGGCTGCATCTCCTCCTCTGCCCACAGGCGGGTCTGATGAGACCAGCTGCTCGCCTCCCACAGAACCAGCCAATGGTGGAAGACCCCCGGCTTCCTTGCTCAGAAGATGCTGTCAACATGCCTGAGTATCACCTCCTGACGCAGTTGGCAGAAGTGCAGCCAGGGTCCTTAGCCACTGAGACTGCACACAAAGGCCACCTCTGCCCACTGCAGGCAGGCGTGGGGATGGGACCACCGGGGGAAGCCTCCCCGCTCTGTGGCACACAAGCTGCATGATCAGGGCTCCTGAGCCCATGCAACTGGAACAGCCACACCCACCTAGAAGTGGCCGGCACAGGGGCCTGAGACGAGGCTCCATCATTCCACCTGCAACCCCGCAAGAGAGGCAGTGCTGGGACTGACACCAGCCCATCCCTCACTCGCTCTCCTGCACAGTTATGGCCTCAAAGAGCACGTTGCTTCAACGTGCTGGTCCAGTCCCAGAAAAGGCTCAACAGAGGCCACTCGCCTGCTCCCGACCAAACAGTGAGGAGGAGGAATCGGGCCCTCGACTTCCACACCAGGTCTTGCCCGTCCTGAGAACCAAGACCCTGCTCGGGTCATCTGGGCTTTGTCTTCAAATGGTGCCCGTGCCCTGCGCTCAGCCCGGAGCACCCGTACCTGAATGGTGCGCGTCGTAGGCACTGTACCCCATCACCAGCGGCACGCCTGTGGGAGAGACAGGAAAGCAAGCTCAGAGCCACCCAGGTGTGGGATGCAGGGAACCACCCCAAACGCTCTTTCTCCAAAAGTCCCTTAAAAGGCTGCACACGGCGCACCAGAGGCTCAAGGGAGCACAGGCTTCCGCGGGACTCGGTGCTTTTCCCCACCAGAGCACAGAGCCATTGTTTCACAAATGCAGAAAACCAGAAGGGCAAGTTGGGGGGGCTTCCTCTACGCTGCGGGATTTCTGACCATGTGTCAGTGTGACACTGTGGGGCCACATTTCCTTCCCACCTCAAGCACCTGCCCCCAAAATATCACTGTACTGCATGCCCACCACCCAGGGCTTATCTCTGGGGCAGAGCCTGCAGGTCCACACTAGCTTTCCCAAAGGTTTTCCTGCAGCCCAGACAGAGGCGCCTTTCCAGGGGCCTCTTACTTGACACCCACAGCCTGGCAACCTTTGAGGACTGCAGGGCCAGCTGCCACCTCCCAGACTCCCACAGGGGCTGTGGGGCTGGGGGAAGACCCTGAGGGGGGGAAGCACATTCACAGGCTGCAGAAGCCCGGGCCTGGCGGGGGTGGGGCATTTCTAGCAGCTGGGGGCTCTGAGTGGCTCGTCAAAGGACGAATGCCCCATTTAACCCTCACAACCCATGGCGCAAGTCCTGGTTTCTCCATTTTATGGATGAATAAACTGAGGCTGAAATAAGACACGCAACTTCCCAGCGTGGGATTCAAACCCAGGGCTCTGTGCAACTTCCTATATCTGGTCTGAGTTCTCCTCCCCTCCAAATGCTGTGGGCTATCTTTGGTTCTGAGGGGGTCCTTCAGGTCATAACAGACCAGCCGACCTAAGGGAGCACCCAAGGAGGGGACGCCAGTGTGGCCGACAGCTGCATCTTCCCTCTGCTCTTAAACAAGTTCACCAGACCCTCTCTCCTGGACTGTCCCAGAAGCATGGGGAGAGCTGGCATGGACATCATCTAGGGAACAAGCAGCTTGCATCCTCCTGGGAGGCAGCACAGAGCAGAGAGCAGGGCCAAGGGCACAGCTGGGCTCTGCCCTCATGGTGGAACACCTGTCCGGGCTCAGCCACCTTCAATGAGACACGGATCACCATAGCAACAACCCCCCCGACTCCGTCCCTGGCTGGTGGAATGCCATAAACCATTCAGGCTGTGCCTGCTGACAGTTCTGGGGTGCCCACCCTCACCTGTGCTGGGCTGCTGCGCCCACCAGTCTGGAAGGAGCTGGCTCCGACAGGCCTCTGGCGGGGAAGGGCTCCTTTTGATCATCCCCATGTAATCGTCCACAGAAGGCTGCAGAGTAGGGGAGGATAGGAGAGCAGCTCAGTTACCGAACTCCCACCTGGGGCTCCAATGTTTGTAAAAATGAACAGTTGGTGTGTAGCTAAAACCATATTGTCACCTTCATCTCAAGAGACAAAAGTCAAGCTTCACTTTGCAACCCGAAAGGCCCTAGACCGTAAATCTACCAGGTTTAGCATTCAAACCATGTGGCCAAATTATGAAGCTTTTTGGGGGCCATAATAAGTTTCTTGGCCCTTTCCAGGACCTGCCTGTTGCAGACGCAGCGTTCCAGGTTATCCAACTGCCCCAATGCTCTGCACACGCAGACAAGCTCTGAGACTCCAGTGAATGGGGATGCTGGCCAAAGCCTGCCATGCTTTTAAGACTCTCGCTCAATGGGCCACACAGAGATGTTCAATCTCTGGCCCATTTCTTAAAGGAGGCTGATAAATGCAATTATGACATGTTTTGAAATTGCTTTTCTTGTGACCCTGGTGTGGCAATCCGATTATCTCACTCTCCCAGCTGAGTCAGCAGAAAAGCCTTCTAGAGAAAACAGGACATTGGTGGAGGGACACCAAGCCAAGAATTCACTCCGTCGGCTGCCAAAGACCACCCAGAAGCTTGGCCGCTGCCTCTGCAGAAGAGCAAGGCCATTTTGGGTAGGTTCCATTCTGTTACCTTCATTCTGTGGCAGCCAAGCTACTCCTAAGGACTCCATTATTGTATGTTATTCATAAGAATTTCTGCAGTACCCACACCACCTTCTGCAAAGGCTGGGTGAGATTATTTTAGCTATGCAAATGTCCACCTTGTAATGCCCATAAAAAGCACAGTTAAGAGGCCACAGATAGAAGAAAATGGCATCCCAGTAGCTGAAACGGGTATACAAGGGCCGTGCGTTCCTAAGGAGACCCCAGTGACGCCCTCACTTGTAACCTACTGAGAGTTTAGGTGCAACCCAAACACGCTCGGTCATCCAGTTTTCCAACCCATTAAGGAATAAAACCCACACATTAAAAACGAAGCAATGAAATAGCCACGAGAGCTGGTACAACGACGCACGACATGGTGATGGGCATGGGCAGCAAGGAAGGTTTACGTTTTGTTCTCCATAGCCCACTGAGAGGGCACAGGAATTCATGATGCCGTTGGCAAGACTGCCATCCCTGCCATCCCAAACATTCGAAATGTTTGAACAGTTTGGAGCTGACACGTAACAGGCAGGTCAGGCCCAGCCCGAAGAATAAGGAGGGATCCGACATGGGGGGCGTTGACCGGTTGGCAGAGGCCAGCCTGGGGTGGGTGCCGGCCAGTCCCTCCACGCCAGCTCTGCACAGGTGAAGGTGCTGCTTCCTGGGAAAGCCCGAGGCTCTGGCTGCCTTCACACAGCAAGAATGCTCCCCGTCCCTGCCGGTAGACATGGGACTCCTACCGGCAGGGCTAGACCCCTGAAACGCTGCCTCTGCTTACCTCCTTGATCAGCTCTTCGATGTCAGAGCGACCGCACTCCATCTCTGTGACTTCATTCACGCAGCCAGCAGCTGCCACGCCTAGTTTGCCTACAGAAAACCAGACAAGCACCGTGACATGAGACATCACAACCTTCACTGCAGTCAGGATCCACGTTGTAAATGCTGAGTTTAAGGAAACATTAAGCTAGTGAGTGTCTTCATTGGCTTGGCAAAGGCACAGATTTTTTTTCCCATGCTTCAGTCATCTGATCAGCAAAGTCAAAAGAGAGAAGTTGGTGGTGGCGCTGGTTGTTTCTGCTAACGCTTAAACAATAAACACAGCACTTTGGCCTCTTTCTTCTATTTTCTGAGATCCAAAATGAATCTGTATCAAATATGCTTTACCCCAAGCGTTTGCTAACCTATACAGGTTACATTTACAAGCCAGGGCATTTGAAAACACTCAGATTTCCTGCCAAAATGCGTTGGCAGGTTGGGGTCTTTTGCGTATCGCCAGTTGGCAGGAAATCTCTTTTTGGCCTTTCCAAATATACACGTGTGCATCAGTGCACACAGCCATGCACACACACACACCGCAGCACAGACACTCACTGCTGCCCAGTGGGCACCAGCCATAATCACAAACCCCTAAAAGCACGCAGCGCCCACAGGAGCACACTGGGCCAGCCTCTGCTCTTTCCTATCTCCTGTCTCTTCCTCAGTGGACAACTGACCTTACGAAGTTAATGAGTGTGACAAACACTTACGAAAATTCCTTATTCCCAGTGACCTACAGAATTTATCCACTGTTTCCTCCTGGCTGAATTTTGATTCCATTTCAATAGATTCAAGAATTCACTGAGATGCTACTGATGCGGAAGTAGGGAGTAGATGGGGCGCCTGCCATGGAGCTTGCGAACCACTGAAGTTCAGAGGAGACTGGGCCCATGTCGGCAATTATGCAAATGCCACGTTGCTTCGCCCCTGAGAACCTCCTGAGGCTTCTTGAACCTCACTAGCAGGCGATGCTGGCTGCACCTGGGCTATAAACAAGTCGGGGTCACCTGCGGGTTCAAGCCTGACTGATCTTGGGGGAGGGGACCAAAAGAAACTTCTCTATTTCTTCAAATCACAGTTTACTTTTTGGTGACAAAAAATTGTCGAAAACTGGGAAATGAGGCAGAAAGATGACTACTTAGCCTGTACGGGCCACCCCAGAATGTTATATGGAGGTTTCCTCCTAAAGGGCACCGGATTCTCCAAGGGAAGATCAGTGTGTTGGCCTTACTATTTAGCATTGATTGGGGTTCAGGCTCAGTAGAGTTGGGTGCTAACTGCAGATGATTGGGCTACAAATGCCCAAACCCACACACAGTTGGGCTGTCTGGGCCGGTCCTGTGCTTCGGCTCAGCTTTCTCGTTCAGGGACCGCATCCACCAGCGCCTCAGATTCCCTGTCCGGCATCTCCATCATGCTGCATCCCTCATGATGATCAAACAACTCTGACATTTGAGTCACAATTTTAAATTTTTTTTAAATTCTAAGTCAACACCCTCACGGTGGGAAGAGTGCAGACTTCAAACTTCTGTACAGCCCCAAGAAGTTTTGGGGGGTTCTGTTTCTAACAGGCATCCGTTGACTACTCAGAAGCTTAAAAATGGGAAAGAGCATGCCAATATTCTGAAGTACCTATCGAGTGGCTAAGAAAATCAATGTGTTGGCCGGGCGCAGTGGCTCACGCCTGTAAATCCCAGCACTTTGGGAGGCCGAGGCGGGTGAATCACGAGGTCAAGAGATCGAGACCATCCTGATCAACGTGGTGAAACCCCATCTCTACTAAAAATACAAAAAAATTAGCTGGGCATGGTGGCGCGTGCCTGTAGTCCCAGCTACTCGAGAGGCTGAGGCAGGAGAATTGCCTGAACCCAGGAGGCGGAGGTTGCGGTGAGCCGAGATCGCGCCATTGCACTCCAGCCTGGGTAACAAGAGCGAAACTCCGTCTCAAAAAAAAAGAAAGAAAATCAATGTGTTAAAAGCATGTTCTAAACCAGTGCTGGTAATTAGGTTTTATCCTGTCAGTCACCTGTGGTTCATAGCAGCTGCATAGCACAGGGCTTTGAAATGGATTCTGAGGCCAGATCCCAGCTCAGTAACTTTGGGATTGATTAGTGATATAGGACCAGGGAACCACATGTTTTTGCTGTCCTGCTTGAATCCATCACAAATGCTTTCCTGGGATTTGAGAGCTGGAAGAGACCTCGGGAATGATCGCATCCCAGAGTTCCCAAATAACCATTGGGCTTAACAACACAATGACACACATCCCATCACCAGCAAGGAAGCCCGTGGAACCATCTTACAAATTCATCTGGGAACTTGACTCCCAACCCTCACGACCCAGCCCTTCTGTGGCCACCATATTTTCCCCTACCCTCTTCTGGGAGCTGCTGGAAAATGAAACTGCTGGAGTATGCTTCTGTCTGTCCAGGAAGGCCCTACTTGTGTCTGTGGTCTGGCAGTGAGTGAGGTGCAGGCTGGACTGCACCCAATCTCCTCCGCCGTTCCCTCCAACCGCACTGCCGCACCTTCACCTGCAGCCACCACTTGGACAGCAGACAATGTGTGAAGTCACCGGAAAGAGATCTCAATCTCTGCTTACGTAAAGAAGAGCACTACTTTAACTAAAACCATGTGTCCCAGACCCCGTGTCTACCCCAGACCCAAGTTCTGTGGCTGCAGGCCACAGCAACTTCTGGAAGGTTTCGTGCCCATAAAGGATAGTTACATTTTTGCTCTTCCTCAGGGACAATTCGGTAAACTTTGTAAGGCTCGGAAATGTCCAGCTGGGACCGGTCCGTCACTTCCTCAAAATCTGGGCTCTTATTCAGAGCACAGCGTAACCTCGTCTTCCAAGTGGCTGGTTCAGCTTTGTCTCCTTCTTTAAACTTCCCTTTAAAAACTGCCCAGGCCTGAAGAAAGAAACAGAAACACGTTAAATTCATGGCCGACTACAATCACAAATATTCGTAACCATGACCAGGACCCCACACATAGTTTGCTTCCCATGAGTCTTTGTTGACCGTCAACTCCCATTCAATTTCAGGACCCAAAGACTTCAGGCAGATGTCTTAGACCAGGGTGGGGGTCCCCAGGTTCACACAGCTGAGTCAGAAGTGGAACCCAGGCCCAAGGTTCCTCCAACACACACTCCTCAAGTGTACCTTTTAGCCAAGCCCTTCTCTGGATAAAGAGACACCTGAAGTTTATACAGCACAAAGAGGAAGTTGCACGTGGCTTCATCAGAGCATTCAAAACAAAGAAGCAGTCTTGTTCAGATTGGCCTCCAAAATTTGGCATGAAAAGGGGACATTTGCAAAAAGTCAAAACGGTCCTCCAACACCCTGTTACTTTTAATAGAAACTTTGTTTTACATTTTTGTGCTTATTCTAGACTTTCCCCCAGGTGCTGTTTAAAATATAATGAGATATTTTCCCTTTATTGTTTATTTTTTCAAATAAATCTGTTTTCAGACTTCTCCAAACCTTAGAATCTGAACTGGGACAGAAATTCAAAGCTGAAATCTTAAGGTCATAAAGTAGAATGGAGCAGTATGGATTCTAAAAAAATAAGACAGGTGAATGGGCAGATTTTAAGATGGCAACATTGGAACACAGACACACCAGCTAGGAGGTAACCACAGTCAGGTGAGCATTATCTTCGGTGACAGGAAAAATCGGACCATGTCCTCCGGCCTGCAATGACAGATCTGTTGGGAATTCCCAATCCCATTCGGGCAAATGCAACTCCAAGAGGTAAATAACTCCCGAGGTCATCAGTCTGGGATTAAATGTCACTCTACCCACTTTCAGCCCAGGAGTTTCTCCATCACAGCAAGTGTTCTCAGGCTGAATGCGTATTCCAACCCCCTGCCCTGGGAAGCTTGTGAAAACACAGATTCCTGGGCCTTGCCCCTCAAGATTCCCATTGGGAAGGGGGGTTAGGTCCAGGTGACTGTCTTCAGCCAGTATCCCAGGGATTCAGATTTAGCTGGCCAGGAGACCACACTTCCAGAAACTCCATCAGCCCCCTGTGAGTCCCGGCTGCTTTTCCTTTCCAAAAAGACAGGAATGCTTATTGTTCAAGGCCAAGGCAGTCTGTTCTGTCGATGCAAAATGTCGCACCTCTGCCTGGGGCAAAGAAACTGGAAGAACGTTCCTATCAGTGAGCAGAAGTGGTAGTTTCCTTACATGACGTTGACGTAAAATCCCCTCTAAAATGCTCCTTAGATCTGTGTTCTTCCATCCTCCTTCGTAGCTGCATTGAGTTCTGTTGCTGTTGCTTTAGTACATGCAAACCGTTTACTAAACGAACCGCAGTTTTACATTTTTATTACTTTAAATCGGGGGTTCCCCACCTTGGCTAGCCTGACATGTCAGCTGGGACCCTTCTTTGTGAAGGGGGGTCCCGTGGATTGTAGAACATTCAGCGGCATCTCTCGGCTTGACCCACTGGATGCCAATAGCACCCCTCCCCCCGCAGTGACAACCAAAAATGTCTCCAAACATGGCCAAGTGTTCCCTGGGGGGTAAACTCATGACGTCTCCCCGACGTCTGAGAAGCAGGGGGTTAACCCACATCCCAAATGGCCTTGAAAGGCACAAATTTCACGGCAATGTTGTGATCAGCTGGTACACATACACAACTGCGGGGCCTGCCAGGCACTGCCACGTTCACTCGCTCATGCCAAGCTTACACTCACTCCTCGAGCAAAGCCGGGGCACATTGTCCATCACAGCAGGGCCCATAGCCAGGAAGCATCCAGGGCCACCATCGAGTACCTGCCTTGCAGCCGGCCCGGAGCCCTATGACACACACAGGCACCTGGTTCTCTCCTGGCCTCTCTAGGCAGCACTAAAAGGTCAACTTAGCTGGATGATCTCTTGAAATCCTTCTCAAGCTACAGCAAAAACTAGACATGAAAGTGATCTCAGGGACCCCCCACCCCCACCGCCAGCAACAGTCACTACGGCTCATTCAGCCCCCACCATAACTTCTTTCTCCTGTGGACGCACGGCTCATGCTGACAGCATTAAGCTCGGACCAGGAGGTCTTCCTAATTTGACATTATTGTTTCATATTATGTTTTTTAAATTAAATGCTATTTTTTCCCTTCAAGCCCTGCTGAATTTGAAATATCTGAGCCACTCAGTGAGTTTGAACTCACTCAGGCCTGGAAAGACCACGAATCTTAACCTTCACATAACCAGACGTCCCCTCATCGTCACGTCAAGGAGGTAAAGTACTTTTTAAAAACTAAGTGAGTTGATATCAGTGTACTCAGGGCTGGTACAAAAGGAGCTCAACGTTTTTTCAGTTTCTCACCCGTGATCTACACCATGAGGCCAGCCTCAGGATGAAGCCTGCGGACAACGAGGGATTTCCTGGAAGAAGTGGCCTCTTTTATCATCCACTTATGACGGAAGAAACCAAACTCATACATTTCTCTCTTAACTCTTAAATCGTTGAAAGGTTTTCTTTGAACATTTGAAAGAAACAAGTGTCTACATAACCAGAGAACCCCTGAGATGGCTCTATCTGACCGAGGTTGACTTCATCCAACAGCCGAAGTCAACACACAGGCCTCTCAAAGGGTGGATGGGAACAAGCATAGCTCAGGGACACACCGGAGGGGTTCCTGCTGGCGCCGTGTCTCCACCGGCGCTGATAGCCATCCTGATGGCCTCCCTGCTCCAGCAGGCACCCGCATCTCCCTCCTGGCCCCATTCCTGCTGAGATTGTAGACTCATTTCAGATTGCCACATCGGTGACTGCGTAACCAACGGAAACATTGGGAATCTTGCACATTTTTCTCAACGCTGTTGAAACGGCCATGAAGAACATTGCATAAGCTGTATAAATCTGGGGCTTTATTTCATTACCCCCAGAGCGTAAGTTGAAGCAGGGAATGGGGTGAAGGGAGAAGCTTGATCTCTGTCGGCAAGTCACATGCCAGGGCTACACAGCCTAGTCCAGACCCTCAGTCATGTCTTACAGATGTTTTATGATGCCCGAACTGTATCTGCGCTCTCAGCACCCAACACCCCCAGTTAAGTCTGGGGACCCCGGCAGTGGCCAGCTCTTATCAGGGTTCTCAATGGGGAGGGGAAGACTCTGCCCCCCCAGGAGAAACTTGGCAATGTCCAAGGCATTCTTTATTGTGACAGTAGGGGAGGGCATGCTACTGGCATCTGGTGGATAGAGGCCAGTGTTGCCCCTAAACATCCCACAAGGCATAGGGAACCCCTACAACAAAGAATGGCCCAGACCCAGGTATCAATAGCGCCCAGGTAGAACTCCAGCTTTTGGGGTTATCTCTAATACAGAATTCCCAATCAACTGGATGGGACTTTCACATTGTTTAAATTTGCAGTTCTTGCCAAGAGAAGCTCACCATGATGCCAAAGGTGAAAAAAGAAGGAAAGAAGGAAGGAAAGCTACGCTCAAACAGGAGAGGAATCTGCAACGGCTGTAAGGGAGCAGAAGCGGACACCGGCTGTAAGGGAGCAGAAGCGGACACCGGCTGTAGGGGAGCAGAAGCGGACACCGGCTGTAGGGGACCAGAAGCGGACACCGGCTGTAGGGGACCAGAAGCGGACACCGGCTGTAGGGGACCAGAAGCGGACACCGGCTGTAGGGGACCAGAAGCGGACACCGGCTGTAGGGGACCAGAAGCGGACACCGGCTGTAAGGGAGCAGAAGCAGACACTGAAGCGGACACTGGCTGTAAGAGAGCAGAAGCGGACACCGGCTGTAGGGGAGCAGAAGTGGACACTGAAGCGGACAGACACCGGCTGTAAGGGTGCAGAAGCAGACACTGAAGCGGACACCGGCTGTAGGGGAGCAGAAGCGGACACCGGCTGTAGGGGAGCAGAAGCGGACACCGGCTGTAGGGGAGCAGAAGCGGACACCGGCTGTAGGGGAGCAGAAGCGGACACCGGCTGTAGGGGAGCAGAAGTGGACACTGGTGCTGCAAAACTTCTCGGTGCCCAGGCTCCCAGACCTGGGGTCCTTGATTAGAAAGAGTCTGAAGGGTGGGGGGGCCACCAAGGGACCCCTCAAAGGTGAGTGCAAAGCCTTCCCTTGTGCCCATTTTCCTCAGAGGGGTCAGTAATGGGCATCCGATTCTCTAGAAGATAGCAACCCCAAGGTGCAGATGTAACAGAATTGCAGAAATGCATAGCCCTACTGCAAACCTCGCTCAGGGCAAAGACGTGAAGGACCAAAATGCATCTTAAGCTACCTTTGACCTATTTATGGTCCACTCTGGGGTGAAGGTGTGATCTTTTGTCATTTGTGTTCTCTGGTGTCAGAGATGGTCATCTGTGGCTGGCGTCTGGTGCTGTCACGGGGCTCTGCAGCCTTGACCCCCCTCCAACTTCTCTGCGGTCTCAGGTCTGATTCTGGCCCCTCACAACTCAGTGCCCTTTGCTCCTCTCCCACACTCACTCTCCCCTCCCCATCCCTGGCCCCCAAATGCAAGAACATAAGCTCACAGGGCAATGGCTTATAACCGGGGCTATGACTCGGACTTTGTGTGGTGTCACATTTGCAAATGTGGAGGTCTAGGCCGACCTTGACCTAGGGCTCTGGATCTCCCAGAGGTGAAACCTGGACATCTGGAGACTTAGAGATGCCCACACAGGACTCTGATGACCCACAAGGGACTTGACAGCCCAGCTGGTCTGCAGAGCTGGGCTCCCCCAATTCCTGGTTCCTCTGTCTGAATCTGGGTATAAATGGCAAGAAATCTGTTTATCAGCTATTCTGGGGTTAGGACCAAAGGGTCATAGTTGGGCCATCTGCATTTGAACTGGCTCCATCAGACAGCTGTGAGACCTCAACAAGTCGCTTCTCCTCTCAGTGCCTCTATAGAATGAGGGTGGGAACAGCACCTACCACACAGATTCGTGTGAACGGAAAACAAGCCGTGGGCCAGGCCTGGCACAGAACAAACCCTCCATCACGTCTCTCCACACATGGGAGACCAGTTACTCCCAAGGAAGGTGAGACTAATTTTAGACATCTGCTGCAGGTTCACAACCCCCCACATGACCGAGCCCCCAGAGGAATGACAGGTGGCATCTCGCCCCTGAGCTGGCCCTGCAATGCCAGGTAGAAGTCCCAGCTTTGAAGGAACAAGGACTGAAACCTTCCCTGGTAGATGCATCGCCTCTACTAGAAGCCCATGGGGAGAAGTCTTAGCGTGAAGGTCTCAAGTCTTTTCTCCCACTGGGCTCCTCAGGAAAAGGAAGCGGCAGAGAAGGTAAGAAAGAGTCTTCAATGTCATCGTCAGCACACATGCAACCACAGAAGTGCCTCCCTGATTCAAGAGACATGAAATCAGCTCGTGGACATTTCTGAGACACACTCAGTACTCCTGAACCAATGTTTGCTTTTTAAAAAGTGGCTTAATTTTTGAGTAAATGACAAAGACATCACTCGACATGTCCAGCAGTGCACGAGGGAAAAGGGACACTGTGCCCGCCGGGGCAGGGAGCTGGGGTCTTCACCTTAAAGATGGAGGCATCCACTTCCTGATTGTAATCTTGCTTGCCAGCGTGCTTCCAAGGGATCCGGAACATGCCCTTCTCGTCATTCTCCCAGATCAGTCCTGGATACATGCTACTGTCGATCTGCTCGATCAGCCACTGTCGGAGCCGCCGACCGCCATTCCGGTCACACATCCTTGGAAAGACAGAAACACACACTGTGATGTTACGGACACTGTCTCATTCATCACAGCAACCTAAGAACTGCTCACGGGAAATTCAGAGGTTAGCAGCAAAGGTGCTGGCTTTGGGGGAACCCACACATCCAGGGACTCCGGGCTACCTGCCATGAGAAAGCAATGCTGGTCTCCATGACCTCACAGCCCTAAATGAAAACTGAAAGCTCCGTGGGAAACCTGAAGCCACCAGCAGCCCCATGCAGGCCCCTCCCACCGTGCTGCCTGTGCCCCTTCCAGCCCTTTCTTTTCAGGCAGACACAGCCACAGTAAACAGCTCCAGTTTTAGCATGAGACTGGGAGGGGAGGGGGAGTCACTTTTTTTTTTTTTTTTTTAGATGGAGTCTTACTCTGTCACTAGGCTGGAGGTCAGTGGCACGATCTCAGCTCACTGAAACCTCCGCCTACCAGGTTCAAGCGATTCTCCTGCCTCAGCCTACAGAGTAGCTGGGACTACAGGTGCATACCACCACGTCCAGCTAACTTTTTGTATTTTTAGTAGAGAAGGGGTTTCACCACATTGGCCAGGATGTTCTCGATCTCTTGACCTCGTGATCTGCCCATTTCCACCTCCCAAAATGCTAGGATTACAGGTGTGAGCCACTGTGCCCAGCCAGGAGAACCACTTTTACAGCATCAGGTTCCTTCACACCTTTATCAGTCTGTTATCCTTGGAACCAACTGGGTTATCAGATGCCCAGCTGGCCCCATATTCCCCGACAGAATATAGCATCTGTGCCATCTGAGAAAGAGGAGGCCCTCAGGCTAGCCCGTCAAAACAGCTGTTCCTTCCCAGTGACAAGAGCAGGGGTTTGAAAATGAGATAGAACTCCAATCTCATTCAAGTCTCGCCACTGCTCAGCTGGGAGGTCTCAGATCTCATTTAACCAGGGGCATCAGCTACTGGTCCCAGAAGAAACTCAGGAAAACCCGATGGGACTGGGTGTAGCGAGAATTCAGCTGGTACACAGAAAGCAACTGAGACAGAGCGTGGACCTCACATGCCAGATGTCATTATCATCTAGACTTCCTTCCTGGACAGCTCCTAAGGCCAACTGAGAGATGGGGACAAGAGTGAGAAAATAAACTTCAGCTACAGAATAGACAAAGTTCACTGGGGTCCTTTTCCAGAAGATGTCACGCTCTAGGGACCCAACCACCCCAGGGCACCCAAAGACATCCTTTGGAAGGTCATTCTTACCCAGGCAGACAGCTTCCCCACAGCAGAGAAAGAGAGAGAACTCGAATGACCTAGCGACTCAGAGCCAGCATTTACAAGAATAGTGCTGGAAATCCCCAGACAGCTGGATAGACGCCCACCCAAAAAAAAATAGCATTTCTATTATTCTGATGAAAATGTGACCTCTTTGGGCAAATGAATTTGAAACCATTGGCAGTGACAAGACATAATGTTCCAAAATACAGTAGACCCCTGCTGGTCCAGCAAGCAAAGTAACAATCAGAACCTTTCAGAATGCCCGCAAGAAGTAGGCATTCTGGAAACTCCAGCCACCCTGCAGGTGGCTGTGAGATGGGAAAAGGGGCCAGGTCTCAGGGAGGAGGAGGTGGGATCCCTTAAATTCTCCATCCAACAACCTCAGTTGTATATTTATGGATTTAAAAGGTGAATTCATTTTTTTTAATTTTAGAGACAAGGTCTTGCTCTGTCACCCAGGCAGGAGTGCAGTGGTGCCATCAGAGCTCGTGGCAGCCTGAAACTACTAGGTCCTCCTGCCTCAGCCTCTTGAGTAACTGGGACTACAGACATGTGCCACCACACTCAGATTTTTTTTTTTTTTTTTTTTTTTTTAGAGACACGGTCTCGCTGTGTTGCCTAGACTGGTCTTGAACTCTTGGCCTCAAATGATCCTCCCACCTCAGCCTCCCAAAATGCTGGGATTACAGATGTTAGCCACTGCGCCCATCCAAATTAGACCTTGGTTTGAAAACTCTGAACTCTGGCAAAGGCTTTTCTCTAACTAGACCTTGGGAAGTCACTTGAACCTCTCTCTGAGGCTTCCTCAGCTATAAGTTGAGAGAATGTATCTCAAGAAACCCAGAATTCTAAAGCAGGCCATTATGTTTATCATAAAGAAGGGACAGATGTGGGAAGAGGGTACCTGAGAAGAGCAATGGAACACCACTAGACAGGACCCCCCAAACAACTTAGCAGCTCTCTCCTGGGACAAGTTAGAAAAATTTCTGCTAGCTTGTGGAATGAGCTGCATAGAGGAAGAGGAGCTGGCCAGAACACAGCAGAGGGGTTGGCATCTGAGAATCTCAATTAAATGAGACACTTCCCCTGATCCCCTTGCTACAAGGTTCTTCAACTAGAATCCACAGTCTCTGAGCCTCCTGCAACCAAAAGTGAAATTTCGTGAACACAGGCATTTTTCTAGAAAGAGGGTCAACACTTTCTCATCAGGATTCATAATCTCTAAACTGTTCAGGACAATAGTCCTGGTGATTCAGAGGAAAAAAATTTTAAAAGGTAAAAGAGAAGAGTGAATTATAGCATCTGAAAGCTGGAAAACGCTTTAGAAATCATCTAATCCAGCCCCCTCTTCATTCAAGAGAGGAAAAACGGAGGCCCAGAGAGGTACAGCGAATACCCAGGCAGCCAGCAGGCCGTGTTGGAACCCGTGCCACCGCCCCAGACTCACCAGCAGGCCATGTTGGAACCCATGCCACCGCCCCAGACTCACCAGCAGCTTAGTTCACGCACGGTACAGAGGAAAGTTTTGGTCACCTTACAAGATCTCTGCACATGTGCAGCCCCATCTGAGTGTCCTTCATGGTCTCCCCCCGAGATTCTAAGTAACATCAAACGCCTGAGATTCTATTACAATTATGATCCATGAGGATTCTTTAAACATTAACAAACTAAGTCCACCAAATGCCCAGCCAGGAAAAATTAATAGTCCAGTCACATGTTTATAACTTCCTCTTCTTGGTTTGAGGTAATCCATTGGCCAAGCCCTATCTGCAGCCCTATAAACGTACCCAGCAGTCAGGCTTTGCAGCCGGGATGTGATAAGCGGCTGCCCTGGGCCCACCTAACCCAGATTGCAGGATACACCTGAGTCGGCAGCAGCAGAACCCACCCTCTTCCCCGCCTGGGAGAGCCTCGGGGCACCTACCTGCTCTGGCCCGGCATATCCTTATCACTAGACCAGAAAGCACCAAAGCCATTTCTCTCTCTGGCCCCAATCTTCCCAAAGTGACTGAATCACTCCCAAATCTTTTCATAGCAGAAGCCGCCATAACCCAAAAGGACAAGCTTAGAACTGTCGTTTAACCACTAGCTCTTACCTTTGGTTTAAAAAAGAAAGTAGGGGGCCATCAGTTGGGGGGACTTCTTAAAATTTTGGAAAATTCAGTGTCTAGTTTCCATCCATAAAGCCCTTCACAGCTCTGGGTAAGTAACACCTCTCACCTTAGGAAAGTCTGTCCTAGCTCTTGGGATTCATTTTACAAACAACGTTCTTTAAATACATTTTTTTCAAACAGTGTTTTTGTGAGCTGTGGCCCGTATACAGACTCTCTTGCCAAGGATGACTTGGCTGAGATTGAAGCAAAGGACTTCAAGCGCAACTCGGAAATCTTAACTGACTGTCATTAATCAGAATTTTTGAACCAGTCTGTCCCCTCCTCCACAATCTCGACCCTCAATATACGACTGGTTATTGGGCAGTTCCACAGTTCTGCCCCTTCAAGCATTATTCCACGTGGTACAATTCCAGTGGGATGACAGACCGGTTTCAAGATAGGGGTTCCTATTGCCCTTCCTATATGAGCTCTCCTAACGTTTTCCACGTAAACCAAATTTTAAGAAAAATGAGATTTTTAAAAAGGCATCTGTCTACCCATCTTTGGAAACAGGCAAACAATAATCACCGATTTGGGCGTTCAGATTGGATTTAGGTGGCTGGAAAATAAGCAAAAAGCAGAGAGAAGGGCACGGGCAGCCACCGAGCTGCGCCTGGGGACATTACGGTATTTCCAACCTCATCATGCCCCGCTGGCGTAGGGGACCCCACGGGAAGGGACCGCGCGGGATGCGGGCGCCCTGCCCGCCCAGCGTGCCTACCTGCCGCCGCCTCGACGCCCGCGTTCCACGCTCACGGCCTGCGTTCCCACGCTCGCTGCAGAGCTCTAGGAGATGCGCCAGCGGGCGCGCGACTTTAAAAAGCGCAGGGGGGCGGGGCCGGAGCGCAGAGCGACGGCCGCACCGACCAGTGGCGTGAGGGAGGGAATGGACGCCGCCCAATCAGCTGGGCTCTCGCGTCCCGCCTTCTTCGAAGTGCCTGGCTTTCCGAGAAATCCCTTTCCCGAGCGGCCGTGCCAGGGGGTTCGGGGCCCTTCGGGAGCCGTGGGCCGAGCCCGGCTTCTCACACCTGGGGTCCCGGGACGGCCCGGGAATTCCGGAGGCCCCGCGGAGTGACCTGGAGGCAGACAGCGCGGGGAGTTCGGCAGGTCCGGAGCGAGCCCCCCGCGGTGAGCAGGACGCGGCAGCCCGTGCGGGGCGGCTCAATGATCCGAATCCGGAACCAGAACCCAGCTGCCCGCCAGTCTCCGCCTCCGCGAGTGCTGGGTGTGGGGCGGGGACGGGGACGCGAAGGCCGTTTACAGACCGTCCCGCGTCACCCGTGGCCAAATGAAGCCACGGCCCGCTGAGGCCGCGATGGAAACGGGAGCGTCCAACGCCAGCGGATAGAAGGTCCCCCTGGGGACATTGTCGGCAAAACTCCTTTTCCCCAGAAAGTGGCAGCGTTAACAAGACGTCCCCTGTGGGACCAGCTGCTCCTGGGTGTGAACTGACATTTATTGTAAAACGAGGTGGGGTGGGGAGAACAATGCTGGAAAAAAGCAAGCAATTGTTTCCGCGTTTCGGCGTTCCATCCTGGGGGAGCCCTAGAGTAGTGGGGGGAGGACACGAGGGTCGCAATTGGCTTTTACCGCCCAGTGGAGAATCACACATCGGGGCTGTTTTTTCACTGAGCTTTTAAGGGACCTATGAAAATCATGTTTGAGAGTGAAATGTTATTGGCTGCACAATACAAAAAGTACACTGCAAATCTGAAATTAATGTTTAAATGAAGGTCCTCAAAACATGTTAACGTCATCATTCTAGGGTATTGATTGATCCGTGCTTCATTATTTTCTGAAACCCTACGTCAGCTGTCCCTTGGTATGAATTCCCTAATGCCATGATTGCGGGGAAGTCATAAGCAAGTTCCCCATGATCACATAATTTCAAATAAAACTATTGTTGTAACACTCGCATTAAGAGCATTTAGAGAGTGTGAGAGTATTTTTAATGTATTTGCTATGATGTGGGATGGAACTTCCAGGAATCGGAGCCCCTAGGGCCTCAGGGGCGTTGAAACAGCCTCAGTATATGTTTACTCTCAGATATTGTTGTCCATCTGCCCTTAAGCCTACACAGATCTGCTTACAAATGCTGCGGCTGCACAAAGATGTATTTGGGTTTCCACCAGCCTCCACTTAGATAAAGACAAGGGTAAGTGGATATAGGAAAGCGACAGTGGAAGGGCTCCAGCACGTGTCACTGGCAGTAGGTGTCACTATGTACATTACAGGACTGGCTTGCATTAAAACTCCTCCAGAAACCCCATGTTTTCCACAGGGTGGTTTCTCACTGCCTAGGAACAATTTCTAACCAGATCTGTTTAGTTCTGCTCTTATTTAATGGGCATTTATGAAGCAACTACTATGTGCTAGGTATGGTGCCAAGAACAGGACACCCAAAGAATGAATGTGCTGGCTCATCCTTTGAGACACTCCTTCCCGGGAATGTTAGAATCCAGAACCCAGCCTGCACTGCAGTCTCAGCCTGGAGACTCCATGGAGCCTGCCCCTCGGATATTAGGAGGAGAAAAAAATCATTTCGTGCATGTGTATGTTGTTACTTGTTATATTACAGTGTGGTTCTATTCTTTATTCCCTGGAATTATATTTCCAATTGAAAGACCATTTTTCTGGCTGGGTGCAGTGGCTCACGCCTGTAATCCCAGCATTTGGGAGGCTGAGGTGGGCAAATCACCTGGGGTCAGGAGTTGGGAGACCAGCCTGGCCAACATGATGAAACCCCGTCTCTACTAAACATAGAAAAAATTTAGCTGGGTGTGGTGGCACATGCCTGTAGTACCAGCTACTGGGGAGGCTGAGGCAGGAGAATCACCTGAACCCGGGAGGCTGAGGTTGCAGTGAGCCGAGATGGCACCACTGCACTCCAGCCTGGGCAACACAGCAGGACTCCAGGAAAGGAAAGGAAGACCATTTTTCTGTGTACACCAGATTTCTGCTCACATAATGGAAAGTTTTCTTAGGTTTTAAAGAGCTTCATTTCCATTTTAGTCCACTGGAATCTAGCCCATTCTAACAGCTGCACATATTTTGTTGTACATATTTGCCTTAATTTATGTCATCAGTTACCTAAATTGCTTTGGATGATCGATTTGACCACCTAAATTGATTATTACCTAACTGAGCATATCGAGTGAGCTCAGATCAGCACTCCTGATCTAGGTGGTGTGTAAATAGGTGTGCACATACGGAAAAGTCACCCCATCATTTTTTTTTTTGTCATATAAATGACAACAATGACCACAATGAGGACACCTGGCAATAAATGGTATCTCATGCAATACCATCTATTGAGGCAAAAACATGCAGAATCTGGTCCCTGGTTCTCTGATCATTCCTTCCAGCATCTCGCGATCCCGGTAAACTTCCTCCAGCTCTCGCAGTGGCCTGCCCACCCTGCTGCCTCCTCACCCTTTCTCCACCGATTCCACTTTGCCACTCTGCCTTTCTGTCTTCAGGGGCTTCCCAGTGGTGCCTGCACAGGTCTCCTCCTGGCATCTCGGAGTCTCAGTCAGCACCCTCATCTCTTACACATTCCCACGGGAACCTGTTTCCGTGGCTGGCAGCCTACCGCAGCGGGTTTGGGAGTTACACCCCAGTTCAAATCCAAGCTCCCTGACTCACCAAATGCGTGAGCTTGAGCAAATGACTTAACCTTCCAAAGCCTCAGTTCCCCAATCTGTGTAATGGCCTTGATGGTAGTGTTAGGTTAAATTCTGTGACATCACCCACGTTCCACTTTTTGACCTATAGAAGGGCAGTTACTATGGCTTAACCTGGTCACTCCTGCCTCTTAGGATTGGTGGGCATTGAATGGGACAGTATGTGTGTGTGTGAGAGAGAGTAGAGCTCTTTCCTCCACCTTGCTCATTTGAGCAAGAGGAAGAGGTCAAATCGTCACCAGTGACAGAAGTCTAGAAAATGGACACAGTGATCTCTTACTGTAGGAGTGACCATCGCAGACCAGTAACAATCTGCCTCCGTGAAGGGCAGGAAGGCTTCCTCCGATCTGCTCAGCTCCCTGGCTCCTCTAACACCTGCCTGCCCCTACCAGGTCACAGGTGGGTGCTAATCACTGGTTCTCACCTCCTCACTTATTTTCCTGGCTTTTAGAGACCCTTTCCTCTTCATGGAGTCCCTTTTTCTTTCTTTCCAACCTCCTTAATTCCTACCTTCCTGATCTCCAGAAACCTCCTGTTCATCCTCCCTCCCATCTGTCTTGCTTGGCCTAAGCTGCCAATCTGTCTGTCCAGTTCTTTCGATGGAGCAGGTGCAGAAGTGATGAAGGAAGGGCTCCTGCCACAGCCAACCTCAGGACCAAATCCCTCGGAGGCCTTCTGACTCCGACAGTGCCTGCTATGGACCAGACAATGGCCCCCCAAATACACGTGTTGAGCCCTAACCCCCAAGGTGATGGTATCCGGAGATGGACCTTTGGAAGGTATGAAGTTTCCATGAAGGACTAGGGACACCAGAGAGCTTGTTCTCACTCACTCTGCCCGTGTGAGGACCCAGCAAGAAGGTGGCTGTCTGTAAGCCAGGAAGGGAGCCCTCATGGACTGTGCTGGCATCCTGATCTCACACTCCCAGCCTCCAGAACAGTGAGAAAATATGTCTGCTGTTTCAGCCGCACAAGCAATGAGGTTGTGTGATGGCAGCCACAGCTAAGGAAGCCCGCAGGGAGCGAGTGAGCACAGCACGACTCTTCCGCTGCGTGTTGCTAATGGAATGCCGGCACCTCTTCTCCACTTCTGACAACCTCACAAAAGGCCCTCCTCTATGGCCCTGGCTGTTTTTCCTGGTCCTGGGGAAAGGGCGCTCTTTCTCAAGATGGAAACGAGAGTGGTGGAAATCCATCCAGTCTCACATAAACTCCTTACCACGGTGCCTGACACAAAGTGAAAGCTCAATAGGTTACAGTGAAAGATGTTACATTCTTCTTGGCCCGGCTTCTCCAGACACCAAGTCCACCAAGAGCCAAAGTGTATGAGAGGTGCATGTGCAGATTTACCCCTTGGCCAGAGCAGAGACATAAAATGGGTTCGAGTGAGAGAAGGAGAAGGAGGTGAGAGCCTTTCCAGCTGCGGACCCCCACCCTCCCTTCACAC